GAAGTTCGGTACGCATGGTTTGGTGGTAGGCTTGCCTGACCGAGGGCTTAGATAACGTCTCAGTTGCTTGGTGCGCCTGCCGTTAAAGTTCATGGAAAAACGACAGTGTTCCAAGGTATAATCAGACTCGACAGACGAACTCTAGAATGTTTGTAACAAGCATTTATCCTATATTTTCAAAACATTAAAATCAGTAAACGTAAATTATGAGATGACGTCATTTCGTACATTTCTACTAGCCCCATGAAACATGCATCATTGGAACCTAAACAGCGTGCATGAACACGATGCATGGGCTACTACAATTAGCTTAGATCCACTGTCATCTCTTTTTGAATGCGCAGCGGTGGTCGTTTGTGAACAATAACGGTAGCCTCCGATAGGCTGAGGATTTGGGGTCGCTGATCATGCATGAACAATGTGGTCGTCTCATCAGGATGGACTACGTTACCAGTTGTCGGCAATTGTCGCGTGACTGCTGAGTTAGATGGGTTTTCCGAGTCAACTGATTCCGTCGTCTCTGATCCTGTCCGGTTGCATGACTACTTTGTGTTGTGTTCATTCATTCTGACATCTTGACTCCGGTCAGTGTGCCGGACCTAGCTGTCTCTACAAATACAGGTAAATTTGTATTGACGGTGGGACGTGTATTGCTTTTCATCAGTTTCTTAATCGGACACATTTGCTTACATCCATTCGAGATGACCAGTTGCAGTTCCGCGGTGTTGCACACTCCTTTCATAAAGACACTTCGTGACCTTCATCATATTGTCCGCTTTGAAAGGTAGATCAATGAAAGAGCGCCAGTCTAGGATGAAACCACGCTTCCTGTAGTTTATGGCATTGTGATCTATTTAGGTTCATCGCTGTTCAGCTAAAAGTGTTAGCCAAGTGGACTTCGGTTCCCACTGCGTCTAAAAGCGGTGCTATTAAGATTTAGCCGACGCTCCGTGCATGGCTGAAACAGACGCTCGCCATTGTCCGTTCTGTCGGAGTTAAGCTCATACTTACAATCTAGCTGAATTTCTGAAGTGCTCAGCCGACTTATTTGCGCATTCATATTCCCTGCTAGAACAATGATATTCGAAATGGTAATGATGCAGCGCTGCGTGTTCAGTTCGTGGAAGGTAACCTTGTCAACAACAAACAAACAGCGTCCAGTGCTACTTCATGAATCAACCTTACTTGATGTCGTCAAACGGACTGCACGCAGACGGCTGTTCACGGGAATCCAATCAACTAACGATTGCTCAGCTTCGGATTATAGAACAAATGCCCACTTCCGTTTGACCAGTTGTTGCCTCACCAGTCTACGTATGCCTGCAATCAATAGCGAGAAGATAAACCGGGCGCAGTTAATTCAACAACGTCGTGGAGTTCACTGATCCTAATTCCGGATACGGAACATGCGTCAATACTCAGTGTGTTTAACCTGCGTGCGAATGCACCCCGTTAACGTGTTTACCTTATAGTGCGAACGTTGAACAACGGGACAGTGTGGCCTTACAAGCCGTTGTTACCGATTGGCGTCCAGTAGGTGATGCGAGGACGATAGCTATAGATGGTATAACTCCAGTGACATTGCGGTTGCTGTCAAGTCAACTGCGAATTGTAGGACGAAGGCTAATATTGGGGATTGGGAAGGGAGTAACAGAAACATTTGGAAAGGAAAGAAGGGAGGCGCCAGCTATTGCGTGGTTTCTCGTATCCGCCCTGCTATATGCAGCAGCTAAGGTGATCCCTGCTAAGCTGCGCAACGGCCGATGCAGGATATGCTCGACTTTTGAAGAAGTATTCTTGGTTGTACTTGGGCTATGATACTGCCAGGGCTCTCACACCCGGACGGAACAACGATTATAATCCTCAGTTAAAGCCTTCGGCTCCAATGACTGTCCGCGAAGTAGCGGGGAGGTAGCAATGATTTAGTTTTACAATAATAGACGCCATCCATTTCAACCCCCAACATGAAGGACCAGGGGACGGAGTTTGTCTGATCTCTAACCTTTGACCAACGTGGTGGGAGTAGCTCTCAAGGGCCCCAAAAACCCCACTTATTAGAAATCTATGGGTACGCAAGCCGTCACACCACGTTATGGTTCAGTCTCGATGCGGCGGGATTTCCGCGTCAGCGTCCCTGGATGCGTGTAATTAATAGTGAGAGGACAAGCTGCACGGTTAGCTCAACAGCTACGTGCGTGTCACTTATTCTAGTTTCGTACACTCAGCACACGTCACTGCCTATCGTATCCAATGTACATTCGAGTGCAGCCTGTTTACTCATTTATTATAGAGCGCCTACGTTTAACGTCGTCGGGGAAACAAAACAGCGTGGCGTTAAAAGGGGTTTTTGGCGATTTACGTCCAATAGGCGGTACGTGAAGATAGCTGCTGGTGGTGTAACTCCAGTGGCATCGCTGCTGCTGTCAATTAATCTGTGAATTATTGAAGGAAGGTTAGTAATAAGAGTAGTGTGGGAAATAAAGGAAACAGTTAACAAAAAAGCATACGCGCCAGCAGTAGCGTTTTTTCGCTTACTCGCTCTTTTGTAAGCAGCAGATAGGCCAGCCCTTTTAAAGCTCTGCGAAAACCGAAACAAGATATGTCTGCAAGTTGGTGATAAACTATTTTATCCATGCCTGTGTATGAATTTGGATACTGCCAACGCGCCTAAACTTAGTTGGGTGGGATAGGGTTCTCAACCAAAGCCTTAGACTCAAAATCTTTTCCGCATGGCAGCGAGGAGGTGGCCACGATTCGGTTTTACTGGAATAAACGCAATCCAATTTCCAACCCTCCAGCTGAGGTACCAAGAAACTGAATTTGCTTGACTTGTAACCAGTGCCTAAGTTGGTGGGATTAGCTCTCAAGGAGCCCAGCGGCCCCGCTCAGTGGGTCGAAGTGGTTTGCAAACCGTCACACCGCGTTAAGGTCCGGTGTCGTTGCGATAGCAACGTGTTTGATCTACCACTTGTTGCATACTCTCTAATGCTTCACATATTTCCGTTCTGCTGGGTTTCGTCTACGTGGCTGCATTGACCACAACTTCACTTTGCGTCAGTTGTTGGAGCACCGTCACATATATTGGCAGCTCACCGTTGTCGTGTTCCTCGATATCAAAGGTGCACTCGATTCGATGGGCACTTTGGGACTGTCTAATCAGGAAAGGTGTGCCCGAGAAATATATAACTATTATCCGAGAATTATACGCACGGAGCTCGGGCAGAGTGAAGGCTTACGGCCAACTTTCGCCGCCCTTCATTATCTCCAGAGGTGTAAGGCAAATATGCCCGCTGTCACCTTTCCTCTTCAACTTCCCTATTGACGAAGTCCTGGAAATCGCTTTCACAGAACACGACTTGGAAGGTGTGGATCTGCTCCCAGCAGAATTACTTCTTGATTTGGATTATGCTGACAATGTTGCCCTAATCTGTGACAGGTTACAAACGTGCCAAGCTGCACTGGACTGACTAACACTGGCTGTCCGTCACTTCAGGCTTTGCTTCGCATTCTCGAAGTGCAAAGCGTTCCACCAAGATTGACCTGGACCGCCTCCTTCACTGACCCTTGGTGGGGATCCGCTAGAATTCGTTCAAATGTTCAACTACCTGCGAACTTGTATCGGCGCCCGTGGGATTGAAGATAAGGTAACGAACCGTATAGAAAAAGCTCCAGGCGCTCTTGCTAACCTTCGTCACTTATGGCGCCGGCGCGAAATCACTCTCGCCCTGAAGGGTAGAGTGTACAATGCAGTGGTACGTTCGATCCTACTGTACGGTTGTGAAACCTGGCCCCTTAGATCAGCGGACATAAAGAGGCTATTTACGTTCGACCACCGGTACCTCCGCAATTTAACTCACTTCTGGTGTGAACACCGCGTGAGTAACCAGCGTCTTCGACGCCTTGTTTACGGCACAGGAAAAGGAACTGAACCGCTCTGCGCCGTTATTCCACGCACCAGGCTCCGATTGCTCGACCACGTGTTACGCATGCCAGCCCACCGATTCCTGCGACGTGCGTTGTTTGCGCGCCGAGAGTGTGGTTGGAAGAATAGGAGGGGTGGCCAAGCGATGACTTGGTCCAGAGGAATGAAGACCCTCACTTCGAAGCTGGCCTCGGTTGGAGCGTCACGGCTCCCTGGTTGGAGTCCGAAAGACGATGAACGCGTGTGGCTGGATACACTTGCTGACATGGCTAGGAGCCGACCTCAATGGCATTCGTGCTGTGAGCTTCTTTGTCCGTCCCGTCCCTCCTAGCCTCCCCTCCAACCACGATCTCACTACTTAGACTTATATAACTGCATAGTAAATTTTTTTGCTTCGTATCAGCCGGAACGAGGTCCATCTGTTACCGGTCGCTCAGCTGGCTTGCATCTGTTGCATTTTTCCCTTTTTTTCTTTTTTGTATTGTAGCATAGTAGCTGAGGTGCTTTACACCTCTTGCTAACGTGTATAGTGGTGAATGATGATGATCTCCGTTCTGCTGCACAACAACACTGTTGTGACCTCGGTGCCTGATAAAACGTCTTCTCAAAATTGCCGAGCTTAGCAAGCACTCCGATCACCAACAGAACAACCTGAACAGCCAATATTTGCTGGTAACTGTTCTATTGGAGATTTTTATGACATAAGTCAAATTACCACGCCTTGCCTGGGTGATCTGTCTTCCACCCTTGCACTTGACAATACCGATCCCTATTTTGAACTTGGCGTTTCGCTGCAACCAGTGGCCTTGGTTGATTACTAGTTAACTTTTATTCGAGTCCTTGTCGAACCGCACCTTCATTTTGCGACACAATAACTTAGGTGTTTCCCACATCTGGCAAACGTGTATAATGCTGATGATGCGCCTTCATATTCAACTTCGCTTCTATTATTTCACTCCAGCATCTTATCTGTGGTCGTTGCGTAGTGCTTTCCGTCTGTCTGCTTGCTAGATGCTCCCGCTGATTCACATTCATCACCCTTACCCACTTACCAATTTATCCCTGCCTTTTTCTAAAGCGCTGAACCAGTTGGAACGTCAAATCCTCCACGAAAGCCTCGACGATGGATGCGCAAATTTTTGCTGGCAACCTTATTTACCACTGTTTCAGCCGCTGGCCTATTATACACAAGTCAATATTTTCGTGGCTTGTTGACGGATCGGTATCCTAAAGCTGCACCGATTCTAAACCGGGTGAAAAACTTTCTTGGTGGCTGGTATGATGAACATGATGCCTTGCTGTCTACATCCTCTACGGGCGATGCGTTCCTGCCCTCCTTTTATGAGTAAGTGACTTCTAGCAGCATAAAACGAAAAATAGCTATCTAACGTTTAGACCTTGTTTATGTTTTGGTTAGGATATTTGAAGAGCAAAGGCCCATCCTGGATATTTGTCCCCCGAAGCTTTGCTATCACCAAACCCTCACTTTTTCAACGTTTGCATTGCCCCCTCATTCTTATATACTCTTTAGATGTCGGGGTTTGCACACCTGATTAATATCTGTTCCTTAATCAGGCTTAACTAAGCACCCCTGGTACTATATCATAATTATCCTTTCAGGGTCTTATCTTACATGTTTGATTTTATTTTCCGTTTTGCTTCAATCCGCGGTTTCCATTCGCTACCCGCTCTCTGAATAACGGGTGTGCCCGTCAATTATGTTATCATCTATCGAACTAATCAGACACAAAGCAGTAATTTCTGTATCATGAATACCGACGCCTTTTTCCCCTATAACCTGCCACCCTGACTGTGAACAGCCGCAAGATACTTGGATCAACTTAGTGACCGTGAGTGGCTCGCGGTTTTCCAAACGCATCTCCACTGACGCCCCCGAGGAAGTAAGACTCGAGTGCCTGTCAAAATCAGTCACAGTTAGTTTAAATGTGACATACACTAATACCAGATGCACACCAATGATGTAGATTGAGGGAAAACACGTCCGCCGTACCTACATCGAACGGTACCTGGACCTTAGTTTGTCTCACGATGCAGTCACCGCCACACAGACGGTACGCTCTACCTTCCACAACAAAGAATTGGAGTTTAAAAGAACACGAGACCATAGGTGAACAATTGTTTTCGATGATACTCTTCAGACCAGTACAATCATATTTAAGGGTAAAATAATGAACTGAAATCGACTCATTGGGTCAAGTTACATAGTTAATTAACGGATCAGTGAGGGAGGCTAAAAGTTGACCATTGATCTGACAGGTCGATTGCACATTATCGAGCTTGATCGGTGGCAGTCGACCTCAGTATCGTTCGTTCTAGCTGGCCAGGGAAGCTGTAAGGCATAGAGCAACTTCTTTTGCGAGCATAATGAAGGTTGAAACAACCGAATGCAAATCGATTCAGCTGTCGTGAGCGCACGGAGGCGCAAACCTCTTGATTGATGATGGGGGACCCTGTAAATTATCCTGAAGGCACGCTTTAAATCGACTTAGTGCCCCGTGTCGACAGTATGGGCCAAAACGGCGCTGCTAATGGCCCCAGTTCCTCCTTGACGCAACCAGCGCGGGCAGTGCTCCTTCACGCGTTTGGACAAGTGCCGTGCCGTTCGACCAATATGAGTAGCGTCACAAACGCACTTGAACTGATAAATAACCACAGATGAGGTCAGCAATGGCAGCGTATCCTTATTGCGTGATCAAACAAGTGGTTCAGTAGAAAATGTGCACTTTAACCTGGCTGCTGGGAATGTCGACTTGACTACCGCTGAAAAACTTTTGGTTAGGCGCTCTGCAGCGGCATCCCCCTTAAAAGGTATTCTTAAAAATAACTCCTTCTTCGCCGCGGTTAAAACTGGTACCGGCTTGGGCTTTTCTTCAAGATTCTTTGAAACAAATCTATCAGGATAGCCATTCTCGTGCAGCGTATTTTTTTATAAAGGCTAGTTCCTCATCCAGGGTGTCCTGTGAGCAAATTCTACGTGCTCTTGTGGTAAGGCAGTGGATTAAGTTTCGCTTATATCTTAGTGGGACGAAACTGTGAAAATTCGTGTACTGACCAATCCACGTATTTTTCCTGTAGACTTTCCGCTGGATGGAGCCGTCTGGCCTCCTAGTTAACAAGACATCCAAATATGGAAGCCAATTGCAAGTTTCTGCCTCGTAGGTAAATTGCAATGCTGCGTGAGCCCGGTTAAGACGATCGAGAACCTCATCCAGATTTATGCCTTTATCCGCCACTATAAATATATCATCCATATAACGATGATAGTGATCAAAAGATTTTATCTCCGCTTGCAATTTTGTTCGCTCCAATTTGGCCATGAATATATCTGCGAACAATGGACCGAGGGGGGATCCCATGGCTACATCCTCCTTTTGCCGGTAAAATTTACCATTAGATAGAAATTGCACATTCCATGTGCACCGCAGCAATAAGTTTTTCAATTCAAGCACAGGTATACAAATCTTAATTTCCAACTTCGTTATCTGCTCGCAAATGTAATCGATGGTTTCGATCAGCGGGACGTTAGTGAAAAGCGAGACAACATCAAAGGAGAGCATCACCTTCTCATTAATTTTGGCCTCCTTGATGCTCTCGACAAACTGAAAACTGTCGCGCAGGCTGTAAGTCACAAGCTGTTGTTTCACCGGCTCAAGAATTCCTACAAGCCACTGGGCAATTGCGTGGTAGGGGGAGTTAACCATTGACAGAATAGGACGAAACTGGATGTCGGCCTTATGGACTTTTGGTAAGCCGTAAAGTCTCGGAACGTTTGTGCCACAAGGTCTAAGACTGTCATCCAATGCATTGCTTATGCACCCCTTGGCCCGAAGCTGTTGTAGCTTTTTAGTGATCTGTCTCTCAATCTGTTCCGTTTGGTCAGCTTCCCTCGTGTCGCGGGAAAACTTCGTCTTATCGCTATCGTTTTCCTGCGACACGAGGGAAGCTGACCAAACGGAACAGATTGAGAGACAGATCACAAAAATATTTTAAATATTTTAAATATTACATGAGAACGACAATGATAATCACGGTTGACAATTTTATAACGTTTTTCGCCATATTTCGAAAGAGTTGTACAGAATCCATTTCTACTTGCTCTATAATACAGTATTCAGTATTATGCTCGCAAAAGAAGTTGCTCTATGCCTTACAGCTTCCCTGGCCAGCTAGAACGAACGATACTGAGGTCGACTGCCACCGATCAAGCTCGATAATGTGCAATCGACCTGTCAGATCAATGGTCAACTTTTAGCCTCCCTCACTGATCCATTAATTAACTATGTAACTTGACCCAATGAGTCGATTTCAGTTCATTATTTTACCCTTAAATATGATTGTACTGGTCTGAAGAGTATCATCGAAAACAATAGTTCACCTATGGTCTCGTGTTCTTTTGACTCTACATGGGAATTTTCAAGTTGCTTGTTTGGGTTTCCTGGAGCTTGCCGTCAGAGCGGTGTTTAAATGCACTCTTTCTCACTGGTGAGACCTGTCTGGTCGCCTACATGTCACGTCAGTGCTGTGACGCTGAATGTCTGGTTTCCTCTTTCCGTCGCACCGTACGTCTTCGTGCCATGGACGCTCCAACCGAACCAATTACTTGAGGACATACCATTTGACATTACCATGTTCGCCTTATTCCCTTACTACCAGTCACACCCTGTAAATGCGTTGGTTCTAAATACTTTTAATAACTGATTATGCCCCCAGTTCTTCAACTTCCACCATCCGAGTGTTATCGTTACTTTTTCAGTGTTAATTCCTCAGTGCCTATTTACTGCGGACAGCATCGGCCGGTGACCTAAAGGATTACACACCCACGTTGTAATCCGGTGGTC